AGAACAAAATCAGGGGAGACCAAGGCAGCTGGAGTTTGCAGGGCAGAGCACTGGAGGAGAAAGAGACGCACAGAGAGCGAGCCCTGGAAATGTGCAGAGGGTCTCCCTCTGGCATTCAGAAGAGCACCGCGCATCACATGCATGGGCAAGAACCACCTGAAAGGAATAGGGGAAGGACGTCCAGAGCTCACATATGGCAGGGAAGAGTGCCCATTCCCAACAGCCAGACTGGAAAACCTCATAATTCATGGAACAGTAGATATATTAAGAGTCTTGCCTCATTCTTTAAAAAAAATCAAACATAGAACTACCACATAATCCAGCAATCCCACTTATTGGTATATGTCCAAAATAAAAAAATAAAAACAGGACCTTAAGCAGATATCTGCACTCACATGTTCACTGCAACATTGTTGACAATAGCCAAGTATCCATCAACAGATGAATAAAGATGTGGTTTATATATACAATGGAATATATGCAATGGAACATTATTCAGCCATGAGAAAGGAAATCCTGCCATCACTTGCAACAACATGGCTAGATCTTGAGGGTACTATGCTAAGTGAAATCAGTCAGACAGAAAGACAAATACCGTATACCACTTATACGTGGAATCTAAAAAACAGCTGAATTCACAGAAATAAAGTAGAATGGTGGTTACCCGGGGCTGAAGCAGGTGGGGTGAGGGAAATGGGGAGACGTTGGTCAAAGGGAACGAACTTCCAGTTAGGAGATAAGTCCTGGGGAATCTAACACAGCATGGTGACTACAGTTAACAATACTGTATTACATACTTGAAAGTTGCTAAGAGAGCAGATTTTAAATATGCTCACCACAAAAAAAAAAAGTGGTAACTATGTGAAGTGATGGAGGTATTAACTAATGCTTTGCTGGCAATTCTGCAAAATACAAGTGTATCAAATCAACACGTTGTATACCTTAAACTTAAGCAAAATTATATGTCAAACGTATCTCAAATTCACATCTGGCAACAAATTAAAACCTGCTAGGCATACAAAGCAGGAGAACATGGCCTATAACAGGGAATAAGAAAAAAAAAATCGATCTAAAATTGATTCGGAATTGACCCAGATATTAGAATTAGCAGACAAGGACATTAAAACATAGATTACAACTGTTTAATATGTTCACAAGGTGGAGTAGAGACATGGAAAATATATATAAAAATAAAGACTGAAATCAAATTTCTAGTTGAAAACTACAATGTCCAAAATTAAAAGTAAATGATACCACATTTGCTGAAAGGGAAAGCTCACCCTGACAGTCACCTGAAGAATGGCTTTGGGGAGGTGACATTAAAGAATGAGAGGCTGTTAGAACACCCCAGGTGAGAAGTAATGGTGGCCTGAAAAGGAAGAACAGTAGCACTGGAAAAAACACAGGCCTTTTTGAAATATTTAAGAGGTGAAATCAGCAAGGCTAGGGGACTACTCAGATCTGTGGGCTGAGGAAGCTGAAGATAACCAGGTGAGACATAAGATGAAGAGAAGCAAGCAGTTCTTCAACTTGAGGTGAGGCTGGAGACCTCCAACTGACGCCTCAGCTGGAACCAGCCTCAGCAAAGGAATCCGAAATGCAAATCAGGAGGCACCAGCCATGAAACCAGAGGCATGCCTCCTGCAAGGTGCCGCAGGAATAGGGTACGCAAGAACTAAAAGGCAGGTGCAGCAAAGGAGCATGGAACAGGGTGACACTGAAGCATCAGGGAGAGCCCAGACCACACAAGGTCTCAAGGACCAGGGAAAAGAGCTCAGATGTCACCAAGGCACAGTGAGAATCTACTGGAAGGCTTTAAGCGGAAGAATGAGCATTAGATTTGAATTTTAAAATGTCACTCTGGCTGATGGTGGAAAATGGACTAGACAAGGCATGGGCAGATTAGATGGTCATCATTAAGAAAATGGTTTGCATTTGAGGGGTGGAAAGAAGTGAATGAACTAGGAATATAGAGTAGAAGCAGAATCATCAGGCTTCTTTTGGGATGGATGTGAGAAGAAATGGAAGTGACAAGGGTAGCTCCCAGGTTTGTGACAGCAGTAAACACCACTGATCGAGGCAGAGAAGGCTGGCAAAGGGGAGAATCTAGAATTCCAACTTAGATGTGTTAGATTTGAGATCTCATGAAAGCAACTATAGACAGGGGTCTTGGAGTTCTAGGAAGAGACCTGAGTTAGAGATACGACCGTGGGTTAGAGACATCAATGTGAATTAGATATAAATGCAAGGTCTCCAAAGGCTACATACTGCACGCTACCACTGTACGACACTCACCAAAGGGCAAAATCGGTGACAGAGGAAGACTAGTGGTTTCCAAGGGTTAGGAGTGGGCCTGGGGCACGACTATAAGGCAGAAGGCCCGACTGTAAATAGTTAGGGTCTGTGGGCTGCATATGGTTCATTGCGTATTCTTCTATCTTTGTTGTTTTTGTTCTTTTTACACTTTGAATATATAAAAACCACTCTTAGCTTCTGCGTCCTAAGAAGCCATGGGCCAGATTTGACTTGGGTGCAGTCTGCCGACCCCTACTACATGGAAATAGGAGGGAGCCAGCAGTGGGGTGTGTGATTTATCTGTTCTGCATCCTAACTGCCACGGTGGTTACACGAGTCTACAGAAATGCCAGATCGCCTCCCTTCTTAAAACCTTTCCATGGCACCAACTCTCCTCAGACTCTAACCTTTTACAGTTTACAAAGCCCTCTGACTCCTGCTTAACACTCCAGACTCATTTGTTCCCAACCACACTACTCCCCGAAACCTATGACCAAAAAAAAAAAAAAAAAAGGGCAGTTTTCACTTAGCAAGCTGTGTTCTCTTACTCTTGGCACGTGCAAACGCTGCTCCTTCTGCTCAGGACGAAGCGGCGTCCTCCCCATACCTGGCCCCTCCCGCCCCTGCATTCATTTTCCTGTATCACGATAGCATTTCGTGCCATCTTCCCCACTGGATCACAGGTACCTGAAGGCAGGGGTGATGTTACATAACCATCGTACGTCTCAGTAAACGATTTATGAGTAAGTTCATGGAAAGAACAAGTAAACTTAGGAATTTCTTCTGTAGTATTGACCCTTTTGTGACTTAGTACTATTGCTCAGAATTAATCTGATAGAAAATATTAACATTAATATATTGAAAACTGTCACTAGTTAATACATTAATATATTTGTGTTCCTGTTGAAGGTTAATTGGAATTTGAAGCCTGAAAAATATCAGCAGACGAGCTGCTTGGGGTAGGTGAACCTTATGCAGATAACAGCACCTTTAGGTCCAGGGTAGTGCTGCTGTCTGTCTTGAAAGAAACTTTAATCCAAGAGTGTTACCACTTGAACAGACTAGAATTCCAAACAAGACTTCTGGTAAGCTTTTTCATGTAATGATGCCAAACACATTACATTTAGTAAGTCGTATACAAATAGCAACAATCCCCCCAAATGAAAATTATCTGTTAATGGAAAATCATGTTTAAAGATCTCAATTAAAGTCTCAAACACTATTACAAGCACTTTGTAATCTGACTGGCAGTGGATGGGGAGAAGATGACTCCATGCTGGCAATTGCCTGAGGACAGGAGCTAACGGGTAAAGGACTGACTAGTCGCCTTGCTCCCAGCCCTTTGTTCCATCCACAAGAGACCATTTTCCAAAGTTTCTGAATTTATTGTAGGGTATGAAACCCATTCAGAATGATGCCTTGCTTTTCAAAGTGGCCTTATTGTGCCTGAAAATACCAGATCTAACACTCTCCTCTAAAGCCAAGCACCCCAAATCTTATTTTACTCTTTTCTTCGAATGCTTTCTACTAATTCCAGAAATTCGGACTGATTGTGATATTTAGTGAGTAAAAGTTCTAAAGTCAGGATCAATGTCAGTATGTGTTTCTAGTTCATAACTAATATCTTACAGCTTTCTCTAAAAACAATGGAAAAGAGTTTGCCTTCTAACTTGACTATAGATGCTACAGATGTTTCAGGGGAAATGCTTCCTACAGAGCTTAGTATTAAGCAAAGATCAAATTCAACTGACTATATGGCCCAGGCAAGTAAAGTGAGTTAAGCAGGTTCGAAGTCAGCGAAGATAAAGAGGAAAAAACAAAAAAACAAAAAAAACAACTTCGGACCATCACAGGTAGGGTCTTGAGGACAAAAAGCCCACACTCCACCTAAAAGGCAGCTAGCACTCCATGCCAGTCCACCAAGCACTGGAAACAAGGACCTACCATTGCCAGATCTGTTTTTCCAAGGGAAGAGCAGATACATGAACCTTTGACATTTTAAATGGTGATAATTAATCCATGGGCAACCACGTTCACTCTGATATTTTGGATCCAATCTCCGATTTGGAATTAAAATACCAGCTCTACCATTTTCTAGCTCTTCGTGTCTTTAGCATACCAGTGATATCCTGAGCTTCGCTGTCTTCATCTGAAAAAATAGGGTCATAAACATGAAACATGATAATGCTTATTTAATTCTTAAAACAGTTCCCAGCACAAGGTAAGCACGTAAACAAGTTCCTATACTGAAGAGTGGATCTCACTATCAGTAAATTATCTGCTGTGATCTTCAAAGACCCTAACTGAAGATCTCAAGGAAGTGAAGTTCTTAGGAGATTCAGAACCTTTCAAATTCTGATTACTAAATACTGAGCATTAAAGTCATTAGAAACTAAATAAAACCAGCAATAAAGAATGCCTAGCAAGATACTTAATGAGTTGAAGTAGCTCGTCTAATTAAGAGATCTAATAACTGTCACTAGTTAATGGCCACAAAAAAGGCAATAAAGTACACATTGAGGGGTATATGTTTCAGGGAAAACAGTGGCATCTTCTAAAACAAACTGTTAAAACAAACCAAAGAGTTTTAAGGTAAGTTCTTCAAGTCAGACAAACTTCTATTGTCTGGTTATAGACTCTTGTCTATTAACACTTCCACTAGTTTTTACACTGTTTTAAGCAAATTACAAATAGCAACCGCAAGATTAAGAGTCTGTTACAGAATTGCTTTATTAATACGAACTATTAATACATACAAACTATAAGGCACTAGGAAACTTAAACATCTAAGTCATAGCAAACAGGTGGCAATTCAACATCCAGAGTCGACAGAATGCTTGAGGGAGACGGCAACGGATCTAGAAAACAGGAATTTCTTATTCAATATCTGCAAATCCTTGATTCATTGTCCATCTCAATATAGACATTAGTTGTCACTTTTAATCATCAATTGTTTTTCCCTTTATTTAATGAATCCGTACCCCCCATACCTACAAACACATACACACACATACACACTTCTTAGAATTTGGCTGTGGTCCCAGAATTAATCTCTATTAGGAAATACATCTTAGAAGTACCTGAAATTCTATTTTCTTAGAGACACAAGTAAGAGCCAACAATATCACTGAAGTAAATTTATGGAATAGTATAAGTTATCCCATCAGAACAAATAGAAAACATACAGTAAGACGGTTTTGTTATTCTATGCTATTGCATGGGTGTCTTGATCCTGTATTAGCTTTGGATATAACTTGGAATTCTCATTCCAAGCAAGTTTATTATACTTCAATTTATAACCTAAAAAGCTATATGCTAAATTCAATCTTATTTTGCTGTACCTAAGACTGTACAGATTTCAGAATGACTTGATTTTCCCTGGCATTTGGAACTAAGAAGCAATACAAATCGAGAACACTTTTTGTTATCCTGAAACCTTATCCTGAAGTTTGAAGGATGGTTTGAAATTACTTGTAGGCTGACCTTCTACACAACTTTGTTCCCACGTGATGGAAGTGTTATGAAAGATTGTTTGCGGCCCTTCTAGAAGGACACTTATTCACTTACTAGACTCCCACAGTGGAGGGGGCATCTTCAGAGGAGAAGGAGGGCCCAAGTGTAAAAGCTTTTCGAGTTCTCTCTCTTCTTCGAGGATCATGAGAGGCACTCCATTCAAGGGGAGCTGTGCAATCTGGTGCTCTTCAGGCAAGTCAAAACTCTCGAAATCTGCCACAAAGAGAAAGGATTTTGTCAAGGCAGCAGTTCTCCATATGGTCAGTGAACTCCTGAGGGTCTCAGATCCTCTCAGCAGGTCCATGATGTCAAAACTATTTTTCCAATAATATTAATAACTTTTCCCACTGTGCTGACATTTGCAATGATGGTACAAAAGCAATGGTGGATAAAATCGCTGTGCTTTAATACAAATCAAGGCAAGGGCAATAAACTAGTCACTATATTCCTTAGTCCCATTCGCCTGCGGTAAGAAATGCCAGTTTCACATATCATTTTACCATATGCAGTAAAAAGTATTAATTTTATTAGCTTTCGACCTCTGAGGACATGTCTTTTTAATACTCTATGTGATAAAATGAGAAGTGTGCCATAAAGCACCTCTGCTGCATATACAAGTATGATGGTGACCTCAAAGAAAAAGGAATTGGGCAATTATTTGATTTGCAAGTTAAACTACAGGTCTTTGTCCTGGAACACCATTTAGTTGAAAAAAAATGAAAGACAAACTATGTTTACTCAGACTTGGATATTGCATATTTTCTCAGAGGAATGAAAGAGGTCTATCACTTTGAAGAAAACAGTATTTGTTGCCAATGATAAAATTCACAATTTCAAGAAAAAAAAACTAGAAGTTCGGAAAACTAATCTGCAATCATCAGCGTCATAGCTTCCTACTTCTTAGATTTATCTGATGAGATCAGTGGTAATATTAATGAATGTGCTTTTGATATTGCATAATGAAACATTTCAACATCCAGTTAATCTACATTTCTCAATGAATCAATGTTCCTAAATGATCAATGTGTGATGAATACAAGGATAAGAAACACATCTGAAGTACCAAATAGACCAATGGATTTTATTGTCAGTATAAAATGTTCACTGATATGATTTCAGATTTCACATTGCAACTATATGTTCAGAAACAGCCACAGTTTGAGTTTTAGTGTAGTATCAAAGAACACTATCTATACTTATCTGAAAAGATTATTGAAATGCTTCTCCCTTTCCTAACCACGTATCTGCGTGAGGCTAGATTTTCTTCATATACTTCAACTAACCCAGATACAACAGACTGAATATAGAAATTAGATGAGAATTTAGCTATCTTACATTAAGCCAAATTAAGCAAGTTTTCAAAAATATAAAACCATGACAGTCTTCTCAGTAAGTTTTTTTGTTTTAAAAAGTTATTGTTTTTAAAAAGCTATTTACATTAATGTAATAGGTTTGTTATTTTTTAACCAATTAATAATTTTAAACATCTCAAGTTTAATTTCTAATACAGGGAATATAAGCAGAACATACAACCAAAAGTTCTTTGGGGCTTTCGCTAATTTTTAAGAGTACAAAGGAGTCATTAAAAAAAAAAATTGAGAATCACCACTGTGTTAGTTATCGAAAACAACTAATTTTTCTCAACAGTAACAAAAGTAGGATTTAAATTTTAAGTCTTCCCTCTTTTCAAGGAGTTTAAGCATTTTCTCAAAAAGAACAAAGAACCATCATTTTGTAAAGTACAAACGTTCTCTAAAGCCTAAATATTAGGGATTCGTCTGCTTTTTTTCAAGCCTGGTAAAACCCAGAAGTCAAAAAGGAATTGAGTGATAGTGACTACTTAATTTAAAACCACTGAATTGTAAAGGAAACCATAAATATACAAAAGACTCCAGAGGAAAGAAATGTGAGACACAACAGGGCTAATTTTCTTTATCCACAGAGCTCTTAAAAAAATAAATAAATAAATAAGAAAGTCACATTAGGAAAGGAAAACAAAGATACAAACAAAAAGTTAAAAAAACTGTAAATGTCCAATGATCGAATGTGCTCTCACATATGCACAAACACGCATCCTAATTTAAAACGAGATAGCCATTGTCCTTCTGATAAAGATTAAAGTTTTAAAACATTTTCAGTTAGAGAACATGGGGGAGGTGGGTTCAGTAATTCAGTAATTTACTGAAGGTGCGTTCACTAATTTATGCTTATATTTTAAAGGGTAAAAAGGCAACCTCTCTTTCCTGAAACAGTATATTGTATCCCTCTTTCCTGGTTAATATACAAAAATCTACCACATTTTCCTTAATGGCTGAATGGAAATCATTAGCGTGGATGTACTATATTCTATCAAAACATCACACACCCTTCAAGCCTCAGCAATCCTTAAAGTTTACTCTCCAGATATACTCACAAATTCACAGCAGTATAATTTCCAGAATGCTAACTGCAGAATTGTTTGTAACGTATAAAAGCCAGAAATGACCTGGATGTGTCCTTGTAAAATAACTAAATGCCCTTTGGATGAAAGGGGAAAACATCCAGCTGAAAAATCTAGAAGGCCCTGAGTAATCGGTCCGCACCACATCACATGTATCACCCACCCTTCACTCTGCCTTTCAGTTTCCCTGAACAACTCCTGTCCTTCAACTATCTCAGGATCTTTGCACATACTTCTACGCACGATGCTCTTGGCTTGCGCCTCCCCTCCTTCACCCAGATGGCTCCGTATAACCTTCAAGCCTCCACTTTGAGTCACTTCCTGAGGGAAAGCTTCCCTGCTACTCCAAGATAGGTTTGGTTCCCTCTAACAGACCCTGTCTTCCTCCTTGCTCACTCACTGAGATGATGTGTTCAGTTTGACTTCCTCTCCAAATAGTGGGCTTTCTCAGGGCAGGGCCAGTCTTGTTAACCAAAGCCTAACAGTGCTTAGTATACAGTAGCCTTTCCTCAAATGTGGGTAAATTAAAAGCTCAAAAAGCTGCTTCTATAACAGAAAATATTTCAGATACATGTAGCAGGTTGAAAGGGCAGGCTATGTGGATTTTTCAGGTACTGTTCAACTTGACATAAAGCCCACTTTCTAACAGGCTTACTAGAACTGTCCACCTTAGACTTGTTCGAGATTAGTGAACACATCTCCCCTCAGTGGCAAGCTTTTGAGGACAGGAACAATGTTCTCCACATCTTTGTTCCAATTCCCCCTCTGACCTAAGATGTTACTTTACAAATACATCCAGCAAGTATATTTGTTAAAAGCAACCCAAATTTAGACAGTCTCATTATACTTTTTGGTCATATGTCATATTCATATCCATATCAAGTTTGCTGAATTGGAATCTAAGAGAAACTCAAAGCTAAAGCATGTTTGTGATACCAAAATATACTACCTAGAGGATTGAAGGGAAAGAATTTTTCTATTTCTGGATAGGCGTCATCTGAAGCAGGAACGGAGGTTTTGGCTTTAACGGTTTTCTCCGTCACCTAAAACAACCCAAGAAAATGAGTTAGTGAGAGTGGAAGTCTTGTCAACTGATTAGTACAAGGGATAGTAGGGCTTCTTTCAAGACATGTAAAGGCTTCACCACATTTTGATTTTTTTCAAATTTCATACTGACTTCTAAAAAACCATAATCCTTAGTTCTCATGGTTACACACAACTCAGCAAGCAATTCTAGTAGCATGGCTCAAAAGTCTGAAATTTAATTATTAGCACCTGTCAGCAAAAGTCATCAAGAATGCATGGTGGTCATCAACTCAATCACTCAACCTAACAGGGGAGGGAAGGAGGAGTCACCAAGAATAGAAGCTAATCCTAGAGGCCATTTTGGGCTTTTGGAAGTATGATTTTCCATGTTTCCATTAATCTTATTTTAATTATTTACTTGATTAATATTAAAAACAAGTTTGTGTTCCTCAAACACACACACTGAGTAAGAAACAGCAAAAAATAGTTAAAGACTTTAGAAGACAACCATGGATAGATAACTCCCTAGTCTAGACTGGCAGGAAGGCCAAAAGGAATTTAATCTTGATTTCATCTTACAGCAGCACATTTGCATGCCTAGAGAAAACCCTGAGGGCAGGGTTTCCCACACTTCAGTTCTGTGTCACATTCTCATTTTTGCCATATCCTTCTAATACTTGATTTAACATTTCTCTCCTACTCAATTCAGATTTTTTTTTCTTTTTTTTTAAAGATGCTCTTGTGGAGAGAAAAAAAAATGGTGTAGATGATAGAGGCTTGTTCATCCCTCTGGTGATCAAATCAAAGTTATGACCAAAACAAGGAGTAGCAGCAAGGAAAAAACACCTGGGATCTAGATGAATAAACCATACGACTAGGGAGAAATCCAAGAAATCACCCTGCAATGGCAGAAGGTAAGACAGGGAGAGAACGTGGGGCTGCCCGGTCCCTAGAGGCTGAGATGGAGGCTATGGCAGTGGCAGACGCCTCTTAAAGAGGCCGTGTCTCAAGTGGATTTTGGCGGGGACAGACCCATTCGCTCTGAGCACCAGTGCCAATCAGCTGCACGCAGGGGACACCAGGGACTTACAGGGAGACATTGTCGGAGTGAGGGCCGAGGCGAGACTCGCTCTGTGCAGAAGTGCCAGCGGTATCCATCGTTCCCTGTTGAGCCTTACCCCTACCTGTGCACGGGCCACAGTGCCGCCATAGCCGTGACATCATCAGACTGGGTAACAGAGGTCACTCTGCCCAGAGGATTCCCTGAAACCCCACCTCCCCAAACTCAGGCCCCACCCAAGCCACATCCAGGTGTTATCCTCAACAAGTCAGGTGCACCTTGCTGAGACTCACACTGGAGAAGGCAGCTGGCCTTAGTTTCTAGTGTGGCAACTAATAAGCACAGCACCTGTGATTGCTTGCTGAATCTTAACAGGTGGCTCCGGAGGGGTACAGGCTTGGGCTAACTTTGGCCTGCAGCTGAACCCCTCACAGGACTGTGTCACTGGACACCTACTTAATAAATCCACACTAATAAGACCAGGAGACTTAGAAGCTTTCCTTAGTACATAGAAACAGACACGGAAAGGCAGCCATAATGGGAAGACAAAGAAGCAGAAACCATGTGACAGAACAGAAGAGAGATCCAAATATAATAGAGTCAAGTAATCTAAAAGATGCAGAGTTCAAAACACTAGTTATAAAGCTGCTCAATGAACTTTTGGGAAGTATGGAGAACTCCAACAAAGAGATAAAAATGGAAAAGGAAATTATAAAAGGGAACCAGTCTAAAATGGAACACATCATCTGAGATGAGAAGTATATTAAATGGAATATACAAAGGAATAAACAAAGTGAATAAAGAGGAGGATCAAATGCCCTATCTAGAGGACAAGAAAGCCAATCAGGACACTCAATCAGAATGGCAAGAAAAAAGATGCCAAGACTATAAAAATAATTTAAGGAGGATATAGGACACTATTAAGGCTCCAAATATTCGTCTGATTCGCACAACAGAAGAAAATCAAGATGTTGAACAGCTGTTTGAAGAAATAATGATGGAAAACTTCCCTAACTTAGTGAAGGAAAAGGACAAAACCCCAGGAAGCTCAGGGAATTCCAAAAATCAGGGATCCAGAGAGGTCCACACCAAGACACATAATTAAAATGCCAAAGGTTAAATACAAAGAAAGAATATTAAAAGCAGCAAGAGAAAAAGAAATAATTACTTATAAGGGAACACCCATAGGACTGGCAGCTGATTTCTCAAAAGGACAGAAGGGCTTGGCAAAAAAATATTTGACAGGATGAAGACCCAGGATCTACAACCAAGAACAATTTATCCAGCAAAGCTATTATTTAGAGTTGAAGGACAGAAAAAGAGCTTCCCAGACAAAAATAAGCTAAAGGAATTTAGCACCACCAAGACAGTATTACAGGAAATGTTAGAGGGACTTTTTAAGAAGAAAAAACATGTATCAAAAACAGGAATAAAGAATGGTAACAACTACATTCCTATCAATAAGTACCTTAAATGGAAAAGAATTAATGCTCCATACAAAAGATAGAGTGGCTGAAAAGATAAGAAAACAAGACTCCGACGTATGAAAAGGAAGGGGATGGAAAAAGATATTGCTTTGATGGACCTAGAAGGTATTTAAGTCAGAGAAAGAAACACTGTATGATTTCACTTATATGTGGAATCTAAGGAATAAAAAGAACAAACTAATCAAAAACAGGCTTACAATATAGTGGACAATTTAGTGATGGACAGAGGGGAGGAGGGTTTGGGGGGCCGGGAGAATAGGGTGAAGGGTTAAAGAAGTACAAATTAGTAGCTGATGGATGGTCACAGGAATGGGAGCATGGCATAGAGAATGCCGTTAGCATTAATACGTTGGCTAGGTGGAGGGTCAGGGGATGGAGGGAGCAATTGCGGGGATCGTTTTACAAACTATACAGATGTCTAACTAAGGTACTATATACTTGAAACTAATTAAAATAAGTAAATTAAAAAATAAAAGATGTCCTTGTCCTAAACTACACTACATGTAAGTCTCAGTTTGATGTAAAGTACTAGTTGTTTTTTCCTAATACACATTAAACAAAATTATTCAAATAAAGTGTTAATCCACATGCTGAAGACATCTTTCTCAACAAAGTTTTCTCAGTCTGGCCTGTAGTTTATGCACAAACACAAAGGTCAACATGCTGGCAAATTATCATCTAACAAGCTGGTGCTTGCTCTGAGAAGCAGGGAGGAACATGGCAACACCTGAGCTATTATATCAACAATGGGACCTCCTACAAAGTACCCACCAGCTCAGTACTTTATGAATGTGTAATTAAATAAAAGCCTACCTCGTTTTATCACCCTTCATTTCATTGTGCTTCATAGGTGTTGCTTCTTTTGCAAATTGAAGGCTAGACCCTCCAACAGCAAAGGGATGACTCACTTTATTGTGATACTTGCTTTAGTATTGGCCTGGAACCTAACCCGAAATATCTGAGGTATGCCTGTACTACCAACCAATCAGTTAGCTTCAAGACATTAGTTAAGGACAGGTGAGGCAAAAATATTCACCAGCTGCTTCTAAGACTTCTGATCTCGAGTTACAGAGGAAGTCCATAAAGACAGTATGATTCTCTTCCGTTAATCTATGTTTGCTAGGCTAGATGTGCCCTACTTACAGGGAAGAAAACCAGATACGATGCTAACAGTCATTTTAATGATAAAAGGTACTTAAAGGTTTAAACGGTGTCTTTATAGCCAACACTTACCTTTTTGGCAGAGAAGGTTGTCTGTTTCTGTTTGAGAGGTCCATTAGTCTTTACTGACTTTTCTGTAGCTCTGTTGACAGTTCCCAAAGCCTTTCTGGCAGCTTTAGGTAAGGCTGGTGGAGCACCAAACATTTTGCCAACATGCGGTGTTGAATCCTGAGTTCTCCCATCTAGAGCTTTGACTGCTAAAGAAAATGCACCATACAATTATCAGGGCAGTAAACTGTGCAACTTGAAGGCTGACTGTGTATATAAACTTCGCCTAATTATCACCCCCAAACTCAACCCCCATTTTTGATGGTGGTGTGGCCATATGCCTACTAGTACTTCAGTGCCCTCTTAAATCTCGTTCAGATATTAAATAGGAGAGAGACTCATATGAAGCATGTTACAATGGCAGTACAGGTATACCTCAGAGATATTGCACGTTCAGTTGCAGACCAAAGCAATAGAGTATTGCAATAAAGCGAGTCATAACTTTTTTGCTGGTGGAGAGTCTTGCCTTTAATTTGTAAAAAATTGAACATCTCTGAAGCACAATAAAGGAGGTATGCCTGTAATCTGTAAACTTGACTCCAATTACTCACAAGGTACATTACATGCCTCCCTAGGCTCCAGGCCATATCCACGACTGATAATACCTGTGTATCTGACTGCAGCCTGTATACTTACAAGACCCAGATGCCTGCTTCAGCCGGTCCTTAGGAGCCACACGGGTCCTTGGTTCTCCATTTTCCTTATCAACAAAGATCAGAGTAGCCATTCTGGATTAACTAGGGGTGTGAAATTACATATTAGACCGTGGAGGTTAGGGAAAAAGAGAAAACCTAAAGTGTAGCAAAGAGCAAACTTTCCACACGGGGCACGTCCACGCAAAAACGGTTAAGCAGAAGCAGCCCTATTTCAGCCAGCTCTTAACTTTTAAAACCTGAGTCAGAGGCGCTAAATTCCAGAAGAGTTGGCGGTTTGGGGCTGACAGAGGCCCCGGTACTCATCAGGACCGAACTGTCGTGGGTCGCGGCCGCAACCGGCTCCGCGCTATAGACCACACGAGACTCCCAGGGCCCAACACCCCTATCCCCAGACCTCCAGCCCTCGATCCTCGGCTCTCACCCTAAGCCCCCCGACACCGGGTACCGGCCCCCAGCCCCAAGCTCGCCTCCTTCCTCGCCAGACCCCTCTCGCCCAACCATGCACCACCTCTCCATTCACCCACGTTAGGACCAACAGCCAAAAATCACACGCGACTCTGCCTCCGAGGGTCGCGCCAGGCTCCGAGGGTCGCGCCAGGCTCTGCGTTTGAACCACAACTCACGTCCCTATTGGCTCATCCGCCCAAGAGGCGGGACAGAGTGGGCGGGTAGGGTCCCAGGAAGAACCAATGGGAGGAATCTAAGCTCCTTGGGCTCCGCCCCGAAAGCTTTCTCGAGAGAAGTTTAGAGCTTGTTTCTTGGGAATAATAAAACGAACAAAAAAATCAAACCTCCTGACACCTTAATCATGGACTTTCAGGTTTTTTAACTTGCTCCCCACACAGATAGAATGGGAGTGAATATGGTCTCCAATTTCCAGAAAAAAAATCAATGATTATTATGATATCAAGATAGAGTTGAGTTTTTTCCCCTGAGATAATTAGATGTGGTCAAGACGTTATTAAATTAAAAGACGGTGAGGTTCAAAAAGTCAAGGTGTAGTGGCAACAGAACTATTTTCCTAAAGTTTTCAACTAATCAACCATTGGTCCAGAGAGTAAAAGAGACCAGATCAAATTTAAAAAGCGGCATCCAGGAGGAAAGGCATTATAGTCTTCTGGAAAATAACAGAAAAAATGGATACATAATAGTTGTATCTCAATTAGAGATGTTAAAAAAAATACATATAATCAAATGGAAAAAACAATTCATATCAGGTCTAAAGAACACTAGCAGAGGAGAATTAAAAATTAAGAAAGTAAAGATAGATCAAACCAATATTTGAGTCATTCTGTTATGCTTGTGATTAAGAATGGACTGATTAGTCCCTAATTGCAGGCCTATTCTCAACATTTCAGGCTAGGATGCTGTTTTTATTGTAGCAATAGGAATCTTTGGCTTAGGGAAAAAATGATGATCCTAATTAATACCTAATTCAGGCTTACATAAAAATTCTGTCATTTAATAGGGACTGGCAGAGACATGATTTTCAATATATACCAACTCATTGGCCCTTCTTCTCTGGCATTTCAGGACAAAAACTGATTGAATAATTCATTCAATCAACAAATATTTACAGAATGCTGCTTAAATGTTAGACACTATGCTAGGCATCAAGAAGAAAAGATCCTAACTCAAGAAGGTGAAGAAAAGAGGGAAGACAAAAACCATGCATACCTTTACTCCCCTTCTCTGCCCTTTCTGTTTTTATTCCATCCCCTTTCATTTTTCTCTCTATCTCCTTCTACATAGCTCAGCTACATATTACGTCATTGGCACACAAAAGGGGTCATTTTGAAACCAAATCTGTACAACACCTCCAGCTTCCAAGTGAGGATTCTCTATTTCCTAAGGTCTTTGGGTGAAAGGTTTATAACTCCCCAGGCTAAGTCTTCCCCTTACTATATGAAGCACTGTATCTCCCAAGGTCATGCAGTAACTGAAAATGCCATAACCACCTCCTCTTTGAGTGGCCATTGTTTTCTAACTAATGATGCCTCAGACTCCTTTGTTATTCCAAACTATAGTGGGGATATCCAATGGCTAAACCACCCTCACCTCATAACAGCACCTAGATCCTAATCAATCCCAGTATATCTTAATCCCAATTTACAAACAGCAACCCATTCAGAATGAATCCCAGCTTCCTTAAACCTTTCTCAGAATCAATCCTCTATGGAAGAACCCAAACCTTAAAAAAAATTCTTCCCACTTGTCCAGCACAGTCTATGATTGTTCTGGGAGATGAGTCCCATGACTTGTGCCTGGTAGTTTTAACTTTACCAAGCAAAATTCAGTAATGTTTTAAGGAGATAAAAACCAAGTGTGGGTCATTCATGGACTACTCATTTTCAGGCTATTCTCTGACACTTTCTATTCCTTTACCTACAGTCCTGTAAAATCAAAATTAATATTTATGTTCCTAAATTCTAGACACTGCAAATTCTTAATAAGAAAAAAAAATAGATTATAATGGGCTATCTTATTGAGGTAAGGATGTTAGCTTTTATATTTGAAAAGAATACATGTTATTTTGGGGGTAGGGAGAAGACCGGAACAGGTGGGACCAAGAAAAAAATATCAGAAAAATTCTACTATCAAAATTACTGTTGTTAAAGAACAAAATTCAATTGATTATATTTGAATGTCTAATTGGCTTTATTAAGTGATTACTGAATCAGGCAGCATCCAGTCTAGCAACTAGAATGGTGCTCTACAAAATGGAATGGGCTATACAAAATGGAAGATTTTCATAGGAAGAGGAATGGGGCAAAGGAGCTATTAACAAAAGAAAAGTAAGGATTGTTTTGCAGCCGAGACATCTTTGTGGGAGGGAGAAAATGAGAAGGGGTATCAGGCAGATAGTCTCTTTTTTTCTGTGGAAGGCGAGGTGGAAGAGGTCCCCAGTGACAGATAACAAAGGAAAGGATGTCTAAGCTGCTGTTCAGACTTGATCAGTAACGAAGAGAACACAATGAATTCCTAAACAAGGCCTTCGTGGGGCTAGCCAAGTATACTTTCCAACAGTTCTCATTAAAAAGATAAATGGTTATAGAAGGCAGTGCCTGTTCTTTCTAAAACCTGATAAAATTATAAAAATAATTGCTTCCAGATCCCTTCTAATGAGGACCTTACCTTATCTGTATATTCTGTCCACCTGATGTAAAACTGTTAATACTTGAAAAGTAACTAAAACTGATGCATAGCTATATTTTTCTTTGTCTTCCTGCCCATATAAACATCTCCTCACTTATCCTAAAGTTGGAGCACTGTTGGAAGGACTCTTAGATCTCTGCTCTCAGGTAATGTGCTCAGATGGGCTCAAATAAACCTCTTCTCTTAAATCTACAAAAGTTCAAGTCTTCTTTTCCTTGAAATGCCTGACCAGAACATTCCAAACTGATTGATTGATTAGATTACATTTCTGTGATATGTCGAGGCTGTAATTAAATCAGGTATGAAGTCTAGGGAGTAGGCGAACAAGGAGGGAGTGGGTGTAGGGGGAGGGAAGTGAAGCTGTTAAACCCTGAAAAATAAGACGAAAGCTTCTAATTCTTAGCTATATCCTCACAGAGGTGATGAACATCAGGTTAAGGCGAGAACAGAGAATGGCGGCGGCGAAGGAAACGGCCGTTTGGGGCCTCAGACCTGGTACTTGGGCCCAGTCAGACCAGGGCTGTCTTCAGTTAAAATTTTAAAATGCCACTGGATGTGCACTGCCCAATATAATAGCTACTAGCTACTTGTGGTTCTTAAGCACTTGAAATGTGGCTAGTCTGAGTAAGTGTAACATCCAAATCAGATATTAAAGACTTATGGCGAAATGATAACGTTAGATATATTGGGTTAAATAAAACATTGCAAAAATAATCTTACCTGTGTCTATTGTCTTTATAAGGCTACTGGAATATTTAAAATGACATCTAGGGCTGGCATATTTCTCTTGGACGGCAATGCATTAAAGGGTTTTAAGTTTAGGTGGCAGGACATGATATGATCAAATTTGGGTTTTGAAAAAAATATCACTTCTATGTGGACAATCGATTAGAAGGAATCAATAGACGAAGCTCGAGATCTCGCGAGATCAGCATCTCAGGAACCTGGGACCCAAAGAGTTGTTAGTGCGCATGTGCCGCGCGGTGGCTGCTGGGAAGCGCTGGAAACAGGAAGAAAACATTGACGGATTGGTTTTCTTTCTGGCCAGTGGTCTTGGGGTCGGCTGCGACAGGACTGGGTGAAGAATTATTTTGGGAACTTGCGCGGGGTGGGCGTAGGGTCGGTTGGTGGAGAGCGGGCGCGGGGGCGAGGGCAGGGGCGGGTACAAGGGCAGAGAGATGAAGCTACAGAACCCCGGGAAATGGGCCGAAAGCTTCTTATTCTTAAAATAAATTCTCACGGGGATGATGAACAACAGATTGAGGAGGGAACAGGGAAATAGGACCGAGAATGAAGCCTTAGCCCTAAACCTCAGACCTGGTACTTGGGCACAGTCAGACCAGGACTGTGTCGTAAATGATTTTTAGAGTAGAAATTGTAAGGTGTCATTGGAGCTGCACTGCCCAGTGTGATGGCTATGAGCTGCTCGTGGCTCTGAAATGTGGCTAGTCTGAATAAGTGTAACATCCATATCAGATTTTAAAGACTTAGTTTATTTTTTTCTTGTGGCAAAATTATATGTTGGATATATTGGGTTAAATAAAGTATTGCAAAAGTAATTTTACTTGTTTCTGTACTCATGGCGACTGGAATATTTAAAATAACATCTAGGTCTTTCGTATTTAATGAGTAGGAAAAAGTAACACTAAGATGGTAGCATTGAAAACAGTGGTAGATGAATGATATTCAGAAGGTGAAAATAATTCTTAATAATGAAAGGGGCATAGCAGGAACACTTAAGTAAAGGGAAGGATAGTGGTGTTTTTCATTAAGAGAGGAGACTATAAGGAAACTAGATTTCATAGAGAATGTCATGAATTTGAATTAAGATTTGTTGAGTGTATAGGTGTCTCAGATCTCTAAGTGGAGATGCTGTGAAGTAAGCAATTGGAATATACCTATTTGAAGCTCAGATAAAAGGTCTGGAGTAGAGAAATAAATTGGAGAGCTAATGGTGGCCTCTGAAGCCATGGAAATAGATGAGCTTGTCCACTAGTGGAGTTCAGAGTAAAGAAAGAAGCTCTAGGACTGAGCCTTACAGAATCCAAAAATAAGGCAGAAATGGGAAAACCTGCAAAGGAAACAGGAGGAGCAGCAAGAGGGGCACAAGATAAACCAGAAGAGTGTAGTGTCCCATAAGCCAAGGGAAAAGAATAAAAGCGAGAACAGCACTAAAAAAATGCCCAGTGTGTGTAGTGCATTGATCACTGATAACTTAGTGGTAACTCTTCAGAGTGGTAAGGGATGGAAGCTAAATTAGAGTGTTTGAGGAGGGAAGTGGAAGATGAGGAAATAGAGGCAATAAATATAGATAACTTAAGGCATTCACAGTCTTTAGGGGAACAGAGTTTGGACCCTATTTACTCATTAGTATGGTAGAAAAGTTTGACATATACAGACAGAAGAATTCAGGAATGTATATGAGAGAGTCTTATGAAATTTTAAATGCATGTGTGTATTTCTCTGCATTTGTAAATTAGAGTTGAGGGAGTAACTACAACACTAGAGACTTTTTTTATGGGAAAGAGAACTTTTCCTTACAGTTACTATGAAAGAACAAGAACATATGAAGCATAACCCACAGTATGTGTTATTAGGATGTGCTTTTGATAATTTCACTGGTGAACTAGTGAAGGCCTAGTTTGTACTAATATAAATTTCTTCCTTTTTGTAGAGGAGGCCAGATCACCATGTCGGCTGCAGCTGTGGATGCAGTTAATGCTGCCCCCCTATCGGGGTCCAAAGAAATGAGTCTGGAGGAACCAAAGAAGATGACCAGGGAGGACTGGAGAAAGAAGAAGGAGCTAGAAGAACAGCGAAAACTGGGTAATGCTCCTGCAGAAGTTGATGAAGAAGGAAAGTAAGTACTTTAATTTTTTGCATAATCTGTTCATTCAAAATTCAAATTTATGTCTACTTAATCAGTTCCTCATTTGACAGGAAGCTATCTTTACCATTTACATCATGTTTGTTTTTATTATTTTTATCAATCTCTTATGTGTAAGGTTTAGTAATCAAATAATATTAAAGGACTTATAATTAACAGCTGTAGTCCCTTCTAGTCCTTCCTACTCTCTGTCTCTCTCTAGGAAAGTGGCTACTTTTAAATCTATTTTTGAGTGTTTCTGGCTGAAACCTCACATCTCTAAATGATATAATTAAACCATTATTTTAATCAACGCTAAGACATTATTAGTGTACCTCTTGCGCTGATACAAGATTTATCTCATTAACATCCTAATCTTCCTTCATCTCCCCTCCTCCTTCGGTTGTAACACTATTCTTTAGTTTCTTTGTTGGAAATTTTTTCACTCTGATTTAAATTATTTTTAATTGTTTTTATTATATTAATTACATCAAGAATATTCTCCCTCACTCCCCCCCCCCCACTACAATATCTCTATCAGATTGTGTATAGGCTTCCTTTAGTCATTGTAATACCAGTTATTTTCAAACTTTATTCTTAAAATTTTTTATTTTATTTTAATTCAGAGACATCAACCCTCATATTCCTCAGTATATTTCTTCAGTGCCATGGTATATTGATCCTTCAAAAAGACCTACTTTAAAGCACCAGAGACCACAACCAGAAAAACAAAGGCAGTACAGCTCATCTGGAGAATGGTACAAGAGGGGTGTAAAAGAGGTATGTAGGCAACCTGTATATACCTATGTGGAAGTGGAAATTTTATTTTAAGAACTTAATATAAGAACCATTAATACAATATTGTATAAAGTATAAACATCACATAACCTTTTATCTGGTAAAAATTCATAATACATATCACGTTAGCTTCTGTATTTCATAAATTTTATATTGCTGAAGTCCTTAAACATTTCTTATTTATAAGAGTGTAGAGACCCTAACTGGTTATCTTCTTAATGAATAAATCATTTCACTAAACAATATAATAAGAGCCAACACTACTTCTAACTCATTCAGATAAATAAAACTTTTTCTGTATATCCATTAATAGAATTCCATAACTACTAAGTACCGCAAAGGAGCATGTGAAAATTGTGGGGCCATGACACACAAAAAGAAAGACTGCTTTGAGGTAAGTTCATCTTTGAAAACGTTGGAAACTGTCATTAGAAAGTCTTTCTTTCTTCTGCATCAGAGAACTTAATTCTGTTTTTCTAAAATTACCTGTACTTAGGTACAAGTTAAATAAAAATCAGAGAGAAATTAGTTCAGCATCATCAAATTTTTCTGCTGGAAGATTAACTGATAATTTTATTGAATAGACCATAAAGTCCCATGGTATGTTCTTGCCTGCTCTATAAAGATTATATGAAATTTTCCTCTGGGCAACAGGTACCTAAAAAAAGATTTCGTCTTATTCTGTTTTCCAGAGACCTAGGCGAGTTGGAGCAAAATTTACAGGAACTAATATTGCTCCAGATGAACATGTCCAGCCTCAGCTGATGTTTGACTATGATGGAAAGAGGGATAGGTGGAATGGCTACAATCCAGAAGAACACATGAAAATTGTAGAAGAATATGCCAAAGTTGATCTGGTGAGCAAAATTTCCTGCTTTCCTACTATCCTTAAAAAATATACAGTTTTCTCTGTCTATAACTTAGCAATTCTGTTTTTTGAGTCTTCTAGAAGTTTAAAAATGGTGGCATTTTTAACCTAGCAGTAGTAGTAAGCCTAATTGAATAGTGAAAATAAATAGCATGATTAGTCCTATTTAGCAGCATTTTTTAAAATTTTATTCTCATATTGTCCTTTACTCCCTGACTTAGGTTGCATAAAATACTGGAAGCATGAGAACAGATTAGTGTCCAAAGCTTTTGGTTCTTTGATGTTATAAACTCACAGTTCCCAGACTGTGTCTTGTCCATGGGTCTGTTTTACAGTTGTCGCCAAGCACTTGAGGGTAGTAGGAGGGGACTGGGATGACTTGTTTCAGAAAATGGAATTTTATCTTAATTCTACCTCAACATTTTTCTGTTACGATTTTACCTGCTCTCATTCCTTAAAAACTATAGTCATGGTGCTTTTTTTCCCTAAAGGGGAGTTAACATTTAAAAATCATAGGATTCTACATCATCTGAATTTCATCTTTTCTTAAACAATGAACTGTGTGGTAATCCTGGCCTGCCTGGCAAGAGTCAGTCATCTGGCATCTGGTGAGAACTGCCCCTTTTGGACAGGGCTTACTCTCTGCAGTTTACGACCGGTGCTGTCTGGCTCAGTTTCCATTGACACCTGGTCCAAACGAGTTTGTAACTCCTGTTCTTTAGAGAGCCTTAGGTCTGGAGCTATAAGAAATCTCAGAGATGACCTCGTCCAGTGACTTTTTCTGAAAACAATAAACTTGCTTGTTTTAAATGTACTACAAAAATTAAATGTTCACTTCAGTGTTGTAAGTAAATTTCAAATGTTTCTTTTTTTGTTAGGCAAAGCGAACATTGAAAGCGCAGAAACTCCAAGAAGAATTAGCCTCGGGAAAATTAGTGGAACAGGCTGTAAGTAAGAAATAATCTATTAAAAAATCACAAATCTTAGACAAAAAAATGAAAACAAGAATTCATTTTATGTATCTTCTATTAGAAAGATTTTAGGGAGAGATGCTATTAAGGAAAAGTAAAAATGACACATACCATTCAGGGGAATATAAATTGGTGCAATCATTTTGAAAAGAATATTGCCATAAAATATTTATATTCCTTTTCTGGAATTAAATTAGTAAGTCCATCCATCCTAAAGAATTTTCTAGTATTAAAAAAAAATCATTATGCACAAAGATGTTCATTGTAGCACTTTTTTCAATAGTAAGAAATTGAAATAGCTTAAATGTGCAGGAATAGGGAATTGGTGAAGTAAACTATCCTGCTTCTACATGATAGAATGTTGCACAGCTCTTAAAGTGGCTTTTATCAAGACTTCGTAATTACACTGGATAACATATTTTAATAACACAGGACAAATATTATGACCAAAAAACAAGACATGAGAAATTTTCATTAACATAGAATTAGTGAATTTTTCTATGTATTCTTTTTCTTTTAGTATTTTCCCATATAAACATGTAATAATTTTATAGCACGGCAAAGAAAATTTCATAGTAAAAAAGATGTATTGCAACCAATTTTTTTCCTTTTATTCTTATTAACTTCATAGTTAACATAAGTTGTGCTTATTAGTGTTGTAAAGTTTCTTTTTAACAAATTCATGGCACAAATAAATAGCAAACATTTGGATTTTAAATTTTTGAAAGAGACTCTTAGAAAATATGAATTACAAACAGAACTAAATAAGTACTAATCAAGTAAGCAGTCACTGAGGCCATCTGTCAGGCAGGTTCATAGCACAAGGTAACAGATAGATGTTAAAATCCAGCTCTGCCACTGGCTAGCTTAGGTATGCCTAGAAAAATTAATTTACTTTTCTGATTACCAGATTATCATTCCTAAAGTAGAGATAACACCAATCCTCCAGGAGGCTTAGCATATATTATTACATAGTAAACATTTGTTAACTAGTAGCTATTGTTGTAATTATTAAATTATTACCAACTTTGCAAAAATAAAATTGGCCTATTTCTTTTGATCTAATATATTCTGTTTATTATAAACATAATACAATTTATTTCCCCAGTAAGCATCCTTAAATGTATATAGAAGGCTGATGTTCTTCGCCTACTTGGATATTAAGATTAACTACATATTGTAGAGCAGTCTCTACATAGATTTAGCTGTCTATATAGCAATATAAATGTCTTTTGTTGAATTAGCATCTTGGGAACCCCAATAATTTTTTTGAAAAAAACACATTTCTGATTTTGAAAGTAACATATATGGTGAAAAACAATTTAGAAAATGATAAAGAGGAAAATAAATATCACTTATGTCAACTATTAACATTTTGAAGTAGGCCTTTCCTGAGCTCACTCCACCCCTCCCCCCACACACATATATTTATATATGTGTGTAATTATAATAACAGCATGTTTTTTACATGGGTTCCTCTACGTACTCATTTATCACTTACTCTTTCAAGTAAACAGTGTATAGTACAATGACAACTTGTTTTATGTATCATTAAACCTATTTATTTTTGTGTAAATTTATATGGTTCAAAGCTTAAAACAGTTTAAAAAGATATGCAGTGAAAAGTCTTTCACCCCTGCCTCCATCTTCCCTACCTCTAAACCTCACTCCCCCGTAACCTTTCGTATTTTTCTTGTGGAGCCTTTCTGAGTTCTTATGTAAATACAAACAAATACATAATGTTATAACCACCTTTCCCTCGCCTTTTTTTTTTTTTTTTAACAAAAGAAAAAGTAGTAAGTTATATGTATTTTTCTGCATCTTGGATAGAATCTCTCTTAATGGTTGTTCGGTATTCATTGAGTGCAGTAATTTATATAACCATTCATCTATTATTTACTTTTTTCCAAATTTTTAATATTATATGCAATACTGTAAATCATACTCTTATTCATGCCTCTTTATATAATTGACATATTTCCATTTGATAAATACCTAAAAGTGTAATTATTGATGCAATAAACATGTAAGTTTAAAATTTTGATAACTTGTCACTTAGCTACCATTCAGAAAGGCTATACAAATTTATGCTGCCATCAATATGCTATATATATATTCACATACACGTTTCCATATCCCTCCACTAATGCTATAAGGTATTCTTTTTAATCTTTGAAGCCTTTTTAAATGGACATGATAAAATACTGACTACTTTGCTATAGATGTTTTGTGGAGTTAGAGAAAATCCTGACCAATTGCTGATGAAAAAGTGTTTCTCTGACAAGGATTTTAGACTGTCCTTAAATCATAATGTGTCACTTGAGCAGATTTTTTCATGGTCTAAATTTTACAGAGGCTATTTTGGCTCTAAAGATACTTATTACATGATCCTGGTAACATTTTCTTCTTGGTCTTGATAGAAAACTATTGAATTTTAATGAAAATGGTTTGTCTAAAATTAATACATTATGAAATGAATATCTATTTGGTTCATTGATCATTTTAATCCTATTACCTTTGTGTGATTATAATCCTGTATCAGTAAAAATACTCTAGAAATTTTCTAGCTTCTAATAAAATTAACTTCACAACGATATACTTGTATTCAGAACTTATGTGCTCATTACAAGTGAGAAATAAGAGTATTTGCTTAGGTAGGTTTGTTACATTATCTTAACTACGTTTTTAAAGCGTTAAATAAGCATTAGATTTAATAGAATAAAATGACAAATTTTTTCCTTTCTGTCATGATGCAGAATTCTCCAAAACACCAGTGGGGAGAAGAGGAACCAAACTCTCAGATGGTAATAATATTTGCCCTATCTGGGTATACATTAAATTTTTCAATTTCTGGTGGCTAATATATAATAATAAAATTATTTCCAGTTATATTAAATGATAATAATAGCCACAACACAAGTGAATATGTATATGATTAAAGGGGAATGAAAGGGAAAAAACTAGATGCTATTCTTTTTTTCTTACTATTTTTTCCGTCTCTGTCTTTCAGGAAAAAGACCATAATAGTGAAGATGAAGATGAAGATAAATATGCAGATGACATTGACATGCCTGGACAAAACTTCGACTCTAAGAGACGGATTACCGTTCGGAATCTGAGGATTCGAGAAGATATTGCAAAAGTAAGTCTGGCCAACTTAACATACACATTCAAAAATATTTGTCTTCCCAGCCTAAATTTCACCTATTTATCTGTTATCTGGGCAATATATGGGTAATAAAATCTGTCATTTCAAAATTAGGTATCATTCTGTTTTTTTCTCTTCATCTGTGTGCCAGAATGCATTCACACATTAAATTAATTGCAATCAATTCTGAAATTTTTTAGATGGAAGTAAATATTAATGCAGTCCTTAAACATTTTTCTATTCTAGTATTTGCGGAATTTAGATCCAAATTCTGCTTACTATGATCCCAAAACTAGAGCGATGAGAGAGAATCCCTATGCCAATGCAGGAAAGAATCCAGATGAGTGAGTATCAAGTTAAAAGTACAAATTTCAAAATCGGAGTGGGAGGCAGGGAAGCTTTTAATTGTAAAACTAACTCTGAATTAAACATCTCTGATTGGGTCAGAATAAAATTGACTTTCCTTAAATCAATCTCTGAAACAATTTTTTTTCCATTTGTATTTACAGAGTGAGCTATGCTGGAGATAACTTTGTTAGATACACAGGTGATACCATTTCAATGGCTCAGACACAGTGTAAGTGCTCTATTGTGAAGGTATTTTATATCAGCTCATAAGAAATTCAAGGGCATTTTTAAAACATTAGAACAATAAATGTAGCTGACTGCTCATTAAGATATTTTTAATTCCCTTAGTGTTTGCCTGGGAAGCCTATGACAAGGGATCTGAAGTGCATCTGCAGGCCGATCCTACAAAACTAGAGCTGTTGTATAAGTCCTTCAAAGTCAAAAAAGAAGACTTCAAAGAACAGCAGAAAGAAAGCATCCTGGAAAAGGTAATTTTGACCAAAATGCTAAAGAAAAATGTATTTTATATTTGAAATACAATACACAATCCCTTTTAATCCATCAAAAATAGTCCTTTCTTTTCATTGACTTAATCCAGTAGCAAACAGTGTCAGTATTCCTCAGCTTTTGCAGTGAAACAGATCACTCCAAAACTTAGTAACTTAAAACATTTCTTTTTTCTCTTGATTCTGTATGTCAGCTGGATCTCCTGGTCTGGAGCTGCTCATCTGTGGCTGAGTGATCTAGGATGGCCTCACTGGTCTCTAACAGTTAGCAGGCTACTTGTCCTAACGGGGCCTCATTTGGAACAGCTCATGTCTGCCCCACCTGGACTCTCATCCTCTACTAGGCTAGCCTAGATTCTTTAAGGCATTCTCAGGATACCAGACCCTAGTAACAAAAAGTATGCCTCAGTATGCATGAGTGCTTTCCAGGCCTTTCCTTGGATCACATTTGCCAGTTTCTAATAGGCCAGAACAGGTAATGTGGCCAAGTCCAGAATCAAGGAATGGAGAAACAGACTCTGTCTCTTCAGGGGAGGAGCAGCAAAGTCATGTGGCAAATGGGCATGTGTACAAGGATAAAAGGAATGTATGGCCATTTTGTAATCTACCACATTCAACAGATAAATAGCAACTGAGACATTTTTTATTTGCCTATGAAAATTTGGTGGCATTTTTTTTCACTCTTTTTGTATAACAAGGCCTGTAAAGAATGTTCCTTTAATCTTCCTGATTGGAAATAAGCCCTTAAGTAGAGATTTGAATGCAAATCTTTATTGTAAAATGTATTTAATAACGTTCAATGTCCTTTCAGTATGGTGGCCAGGAACATTTGGATGCCCCTCCAGCTGAATTGCTTTTAGCTCAGACGGAGGACTATGTGGAGTATTCAAGACATGGGACAGTCATTAAAGGACAAGAGCGGGCTGTTGCCTGCTCTAAGTATGAGGAGGACGTGAAGATCCACAATCACACGGTATGTGTTAAACCAAAACCATTTTGTGTCCTTGTTAGCATTTTGCTCTGGATTGTATTTTATACTACAGTGTCATTATTGAATCACTGCTGTGCTTTTCTTTTTCTTACATTTCAAGTTTTTTTTATGAAATTTTTCCAAAAACAGGAAAAATGCGAAAGAGTACTATTATGTTCACCTTATACCACCTAGATTCAAAATTTTTTTATATGTTCTCATATATGCTTTGTTTAGGTATGTGTGCACACATACATGTTCTGAGATCTATGTGTTTGTTTTTACTGTATATTTACATATTTGAAACATTTGGAAATTACAGATGTCATAACATTTCACCCATAAAGTGTACATATCATATATCCTAAAATTAAGGATATTCTCTTTTGTGATTACATTACCATACCATGGTAAGTATGTACATACCATGCTTCATATGACATTAACTCCTTAATGTTATATTCTCTCAAGTCTTTAATTACATTTTCCAAAATAAACCCCAAAATGGGGTTTTTTTTTTGCGGGGGTGGGAGGGCGGAGTTTGTTTGTTTTTTTAAGTCAGAATCCAGTTGAAGTTTATTTTGATTATTATTTGGTTGTTATATCTCTTTTTTTCTAGACTATATCTCTCCTATTTTATGACTGTGACTATTTAACAAATTAGGCCAGTTTTCTTGTAAACTGTCTCATATTCTATGGTAGATGGGTTTCTAGTGATATAACTAATTTCTCTGTCCTTTGCATTTCTTATAAACAGGAAATCAAATTTAAAGGGTCTAAAGCCTTAATTTGTTAAATATTTTAACAAGAACACTTCATAGGTGATGCAGAATACTTCATATTTCATCACATCGTAAAGCATATAATAAAGCATGTCCCTTGCTGTATTATTGAAGTACCCAAACTACAGTTGTCTTTCTAAGGGGTCAAAACCTTAACTACCTGTAGGAGTTTGTCTGATAAACATATATGATTGAAGTCAACAAGGCAAATTGTACAAACCAGAGAACACAAACCCTGTTTAATAAGGGCATTCACTGTTCAGCAACACCCAGTTCTTTCCAAGTGGGAGTTTCCTAGTCCTTAATTTTTAAAGAGAAATCACATCGCCTAAATTTTTTAATACATTTTAGGAATACGTTATAAGACCATTGTAACTATAATGCTTGCTTCTTACACTTGAGGTCAGGCTAGCTTTTACCTGTTAACTAGTCCTGGAATCCCCACAATTTTCCTTTCAAATTGCCCTCAAAAGGGCTATAGTATTTTATACTCCTATCAACAGTATGTGAGAGTCCCTGGTTCAGGTTCCATTTCAAGTAACCTCTCTCTCTCTCTCTCCTCCCCTCCCTCCAGCATATCTGGGGATCTTACTGGAAAGAAGGCCGGTGGGGATACAAATGCTGTCACTCTTTTTTCAAGTATTCCTATTGTACTGGAGAAGCTGGGAAGGAGATTGCCGTAAGTAATTGTCCTCTAGTACTTACAGCTATAAAACAACCAAAGCTCTTAAGTCACAATTTGTATGAAACGTGTCTTCTCATGTTTCAGATTTTAACTTTTTCTTAGATGATTGGTAACTATGATACTCAAGTCCAATTACATATGTTTTCCCACAGAATTCAGAGGACTGTATTGTAAATGATATAACTGGAGAAGAGTCAGTGAAAAAACCTCAAACCCTCATGGAGGTAAGTCTATAACACTTGTCCTGAATTTTTAAGTCCTGGAGGAAGGACTTTAAAACTTGCACTAGAGCTTTGTTTTCGCATCAATAACACTATATTTCAATCCTCCCTGTCAGATGCATCAGGATAAACTAAAAGAAGAGAAAAAGAAGAAAAAGAAGAAGAAGAAGCAGCAGCATCGAAAGAGCAGTTCAGATAGTGATGATGAAGAAAAGAAACATGAGAAACTGAAAAAGGTACTTTGTGAAGTCTAAATAGTAAAAGTGACAACACCATTCTTTATTGATTAGGGATCTTAGGAAATTATCTAGTCCTGTCTACAAACTCATTTTAAAAATGAGGAAGTGAGGCCCCATTCTGAGTGACATGTCCATGTCACCTGGTATCAGGCTTAGAATGTGACCAGAGATTTTGTGTGTCTTGGTATTGCCAGTTTCCTGGAATATTTGACAAATATCATGAATGCACAAAAGAAATGTGCTTTGTGAAGCTATAATTTTAGTTATTGACATGTTTTCCAGAAAGAATTGCCTTCTAGCTCTGTAATCTAAGTTTCAGCAAGTCCTTAGGAAAAGTCACAATTGCAGTCTCCACCAGAAGCATCAGTTGTGGGCTTTTGTCAGTAAAAGGAACATCATTCAATTTTTGCAATTAAGTGAAAATTCTTTAATATTGAAAATGTTGTAGAATGTTTTGTGTTCTATGAAAATAATCGCATGAGCCAAATAATGATTAGTTACAGCTTGACAGTGGAAGGGGTGACTCCCAAGCCATTTCAGGCAGTCTAGATTTTTGATGTAGCAATTCATATTCAGTAGAATCTTTTGGTATTCTACCACTTTGGAACAAAAGAGAACTGATGTAGAGCCATAATACTCATGCTTTTCCTTTCACTGTAGGCACTGAATGCGGAGGAGGCCCGCCTTCTTCATGTCAAGGAGCTCATGCAGCTTGATGAGAGGAAGCGGCCTTACAATAGCATATTTGAAACTCGGGAACCCACCGAGGAGGAAATGGAGGCCTATAGAATGAAACGTCAGAGGCCAGATGACCCCATGGCCTCTTTCCTTGGACAGTAGTAACTAGTCATAGATGGTCACCCACGATAAACACAGCTGATGATTGTAGATGAGAAAATCGGTGTCTGCTCATCTCGCTGCCTAATAAAGCTTCTAGAAGTCTCATAGTAAATTAATTCATTTCCACACTGAAGAAACAGGAGAAAAAGAGAAGGTACATTAAGTGCAGATTAAGATTTTATTTCTAATTTTATATTAATGATACGGAAATAGGCCCTGGCTTGCTCGGGCATGTGCGTGCTCTCTATTTCTCTCTCTCCTGTCTTCCACTCAGTAATTAAGTCTCAAACTTTATTTCTTCAGTTTTTATGGCCCTTTATCTAGTGTTAGCACACATGTTAAAGGTAGATTAGTTACTCTTTCTCAAAACCAGGGCCTCATTTTTTTCTAATTAGTAGTAACTAATTGTAGTTATTTTATAGTCATTTGGTTTTTTTGTCTTTTAAAGTCTTTCTGGTCTACAGTTAAAAATCTGAAAGGAAATTTGTATAACATGTGAATAACTTTATCCTGTGTGGTAATAATTCTGTTTTTTACTTATTTATAAAATTATTTTGAAAATATTTCCTCATATCTCACACCCAAAACTAAATTATTAGCCTCTGAATGGAAAAATAACTATTATGTCATTCTTAAATCAGTGCTGACCAATTAGTATTAGGTCTTTTACCATTCTGGGCGTGAACCTTTAGACACAGAAATCCTTTCCTTTAAAATAGAGGTTATGGTTTGTGATACGGATTTTTTTGTTTTAATTGTGATTGCCTTTATATTATAATCATGAATATTAAATTTGATTTTAAAAACTTATAGAGTATTCCTTAGACCTAATCTTTGTAGCCAGCGGGTGCCACATTGTATAATTTGGGAAAAGCAAATTATAAAAAATTCTTTGAAGGTTTCTTCAAAGAATTATAAGGATAGCTTACAGGGCAACTAGTAACCAAATTTGCCATGATCCTCAAGCCTATTCTGAGAACATTGTGAAAATAATACCAACAGTGAAAGCAAGATCTGTGAAAACGAGTTAAAACCTCTGACATGAGTGCATTGACTTAACAGCTCAATGGATTTTTCTGAGCTACCAAAAACTAGTAGGATATTACATTAAGGTAGCATCTCAGAAATAGTTCTAGTGGGAGAGTAACTAATAGTGAAGTACTATGGGTGCACGTGGTATCTAGATTCAGACTGGTATGAAATTGAAACAGCACTGCAAATACAGCTAATGCTTACCACTTTAAGAATGTCAAAAGTTATTCATATTTGCACCTTAACACTGCATTGGGTGGTTCAACACAACATCTGAGATTGGTGTTTATTTTGTATTTTTTGTTAATAAAAATATGTAATCGAGAATACTTAACTATGAATGGTCCGTAGCATTATTTCAAGTATTTGGCAGAAAAGTGGTTGTTGATAGGGCTGGCAGGGAGCCTGAATTATCTTCTATGAGTTTGAATCAGTAATTTTGGGGGTCTTTTAACTCAAAAAATGTCACATATCCTTTCTGGGTGTCTGTTCCCTCTTCTGTGAAACCTAATTTATTCCGGTTTTAGAAAAATTCTATAATACCTGAAATCATGTCTTATTTCTGTTTCAATTCAGAAGAAAGGTAGTATCCAGAACATTACTCAAGGTATGTGCTTTGATTTTATTATATCAATAATAGCTGCCTTTTGAGTGCTAGAACGATGTACTGTAATTTTCATATGTTATCGCCTCAAAAGAACTGCATGGGGTGAGTAATAGATGATATCCCTATTTTATAAAAAGCTTGTGAGCATAATGAGTCCAAGTAGTTTGCTCAAGGCCTAACAGTTGAAAGTGTTGGGGCCAAGACATAAAGCCAAGTATTTCTGACTCTAAAGCCTACTCCTTTCTCTAGTATTTAAGGCCCTAGTTCCTGGCTCAGAAAGGCTGGTCTTTTACAGTTTCTTCCATTGACAGAAACCTTAAACAGGCCCTCGATCTTTACCAAGTTCACCCTTAGCACCTGTAAATGATGTGACTGTCCCACATTCCTGAACACTTCCTCATCCCCCAGCCTTGTGGGTTACTTGTGACAAGATTGACTATACAAAAATTAATAAAATGTCATTTCCTTAAGAGCCTCAATATTCTGGAAGAAAATACCCCCCACAGAGGAAAGAACTTGGGTCTGTTTCTTTCAACAGTGTTTTCTGGTTTCTACTTTGGGGGTTATTTCTAAAATCTCTGTAATCTGGATTTATTATTTGAAGATTCTGTTAAAAACTTTTTTTTAATAAAAATCTTTTGTCTAAAGTGGATGATGGTTCTCAGGAAATTCATCTACATGTTCTAATTTATGGAAGGGGTGACCTGCATGGGCAAAAAGACATAAGTTCTGGAAGCACATCTCTAGTGTATCTTAATGGAATTTATAGCCTGTCCCATTTGCCTGAATATTTATTTTGCGAATACAATCAGCTTCCTTCTTGTTTCCTCATTGATTTCACTTAGAAAATGGTAAATTATTGGAGCTTTACCATCGCCAAACTCAAAGCCTGACAGAATATAAAATTTTATTTCCAGTGCTCTTAAGAACTGTGTACATTTAACAGTGCCTTCCATTCCTTAGATTCTATTTTTGTGGCTTACACAATAAACTCCAGCTCTACGTACACAATCTAAAAAATTAAATTAAAAATTGGTTCAGTGCGCATGCTCCTTACTCAATCCAGCCGGGCACTCGGCCGGTTGCTAATGCGCCTGCGTGCTGGGAGACGCCTCGCCCAGTTTGCGGGCGGGAAGCCACCCCGAGAACCCGGATGCGGCGGTCGCTGCGGCTGCTTTTGTGTTCTCACTTTCCGCAGGTTCCTGCTCCGGGGTCGCACCTGAGGAACCGCCGCCTAGACTGGTTTCGGCGCCCAGAGATTAGGCGCCAGCTTGAGCGGAGAGTGCACTGCAGTCTGAAACGGGCGCCTAAAAGAAGCCCGAGCATCCTTTGGGCCTGCGCCTCTGGCTCGGAGACGGGAGGCTGGAGACCGAGCGCAGTCTTCTTCCCTCGCCGCCGGCGCCCCATGCTCGCCCGGGCCACCTCTTAAACGTCCTTAATACACCAAAAGGTCCTTCCTACCAGTTACCAGCTGCGTGTTCTTTACACGCATGCTCATAATTAAACCTCCCAACAACCATATAAGGTAGGTACTATTGTCATCCCCAGTTGAAGATTTGAGGCTTGGAAAGGTCCCATCCTGTAAGTGATAAAGCCAGGATCCCAGGCTTTTGCCTCTGGAGCGTTTACTCACCTACTGCATTCCCTTCCCTTTCTCCTGGCTCTTGCTTTTAACTATAAAATGTATTGATTAAATCCTCTGCCTCCCCAGACACCTGCACCTAGAAGTTGAATCGTATTTGATTTGGCGTTTTAGGTATACAATTGCACTTTGGTGTTGTCACTGCTGAAATGTATATGTTAGCATTCTCCAGGTATTTCTATTTATATGTTCAGCTTTACTTTTTTTTCCTCTGTCATGATACTTCTTCATATCTACCCTTCATAAATTTGCAAAAACATTTTACTTTGTTATATCAGACCTTTCTGCATTTTAAGATATCTCACAAAACTCAAAAGAATCATTCTAAAAAACAATTATATCTGTCCTAATAAGATAATACTTTTGTTTGTTTCTTTTACTGTTTATTATGGAAAATTTCCAGCATACATAAAAATAGTGAGAATGGTGTAACTGATGGGTCCCATCGTCCAGTTTCAACAGTTAACATCTCAAGGCCAATCTTATTTCTTATATCTCCACCCCACTTTGTTTGTATTTGCATGTGTGCTGAAGTACAATATTTCAAAAGAAATCCCAACATTATATTTTTTCACTTGTAAATAGTTAAATCTATATTTCTAATAAATGAGGACTCTTTAAAAAACACAACCATACCATTATCACACCTGTTTAACCGTGATTCCTTATTATGATGATACTTTTTTAATGTTTACATATTTTAGAATGTGATTACTGAATACCACAAAGGAGGAAGTAAAAATTGTGAGGTTCTAAAACACAAGAAAGCCTCTTGGGCGATAACTTACTTCATCTTTGAGGATCTTGAAAATTCTTGCTACCTGTTCTCTCTCTTTGAGGGAGATGGAGAAGAATACTGTAAATGAATTTCTCTAAAAATTCTTTGATTGTAAACAGGTAAATCTCAAAATATATCTGAGTAGCATAGTCAGGGTGGATAGGAATGGACTCATAACTGATCCTGTAATTTCTAATGAAACTGAAGGAAAAAGCTCTACATGGTAAATATACATAACAATACAGAAAGATAAAAGCACTTTTTATGTTGATGTCATAATTTTATTATCAATTAGGAGAGGTTCTAAACAGTTGGCTCGTCTTATCATTTTACAAAAGAAGGCTTAAGATCAACTTTTAAACTTTAAATTATCTTTGTTGATTGGCAGACATCTTCAAATTTTTAACTGGCTTATAAACAACTATGTGGCAGGTCAACCTATTTATTACATAGAAGTAAATTTTACAACTAGTTAATCTTGGCAGAGCCACTGGAAATCTAGTGCTTTAAGTAAATACTCTTGGCTGGCTTACTGTGATCATTTTTTAAGGCCAAAGTAAGTGTTTGGATTTTAATGGGTCCCTGTTATTTCAGCCACATTCTGTGTCATAGAACTTGGAAACTTTGAGAATTACTTATAAATCCGGGAAATAGAATTGTTTTCTCAGTATATTTGAGGCTGTCCTTGGATAATACTCTTGCTCATTGCTAAGGAGGAAGAAAAAGAGAAAAGGCATAGCTTTCTTTTGAGGCCCCTCAACTTCCCTAGGAGGTTGTTTGCAACTTAGAAAACTTAAATGCCTATTAAAGCATTTAAACTATTAGCAACCTAGAGTGTCTGCAAGCTAGGAATTGGCCTGAGGATGTGTTGTCAGTCCTCTCGGTCTGACTACCTACTACGTGTATCAGAATCACCTGGACAACTTTATTTTCTATTTTTTTGTCCTACTTCCGGAGATAATTTATTAGTTCCACAGTGGTACAAGGACATGTATACTTTTACAGGGGTTCCTGATGGGCATCTCTTATTAAAGATTGCTGTTCTAGTTACTATTCATAGGAATTATCTAAAATGTTTACTTACTTAGAATACAGATTCTGGGCCCCTACTCCAGTGCTAGGGAATCAGAATCTATCTGGGAATGTGCATTTAAACAAGAGATTTAGCTCTCATTCCTCCATTTACTAAACTAGAAAACCACTGTCTTCTACATCTTATCCTTGGATTAAGCCAGGTGTTAGGAATGCTGCTTAATTTTCCTTTCGTGTTTTTGGCAGGACTGCTTTTACTGAGGGGTAGTTATATGAAAAAGCATCATGAAATTTCTGTTGTAATTAAGATGTCCTCTACAAGGGAAATTTTTCTGAAGTCTCGGTAGCAGGAATAGTTGTGTTCCTCCTGAGCAACTTGTTTTGTTTTTCTATATGGACAGAATGAATCATGTACCAATAGTGTGTTATGTTACACTTCAGCAGCAGGAAGCTCTGAGCCAAATTTATGTCCTAGTTCTATGTTAAGGGTAACCTAATCAGACCTGTTTGAAATTCTCTGCTTAAGTTGATGCCAAAGCCACTCAAAGATCAAGTAGTTTTATGGACCTATTTATTCCTTAACTATTAAAAAGAACTAGCTGCCCTGTCAAAACATCTGCCCTTCTTTAGGGTATTTAGTGAATTATTCCTTTCTCGATTCAGTGATGCATAACAAGGAATGTGCATACGTTATTGGCACAGGATGGAAGTAGGGGGTGGCAGTGAGATGCCCTTTCTGGGGATACAAAATGTACCAGATTTGTTTGGAACATGTATTTTTGAAAACAAATTAAGCCATAACTGCAATTCGCCAGTAGAGGACTTAAGGGTATTCACACCTATCATGAGCCCAAATCTCCCACACATAACTTGCTGTCAAGTCATGTATTCCAGGGCATTAGCTGTGAGTTGCTAGCTTTAAGTTGTACTGTCATGCCGTCATGGCTTACTTTGAACCAACATCTTACAGGATTATTTCTTGACGTGAACACACATGACAGGATGGCATGTCTTGTGGCTTTGTTTTAATTTGGTTAGCCACTGATTTTTAATGTGTGGGTTATATTTCACTCCCAAAGCAAAATTCTGCAGCATCTCTGGAATACTACCTGAGAATTTTGGGGTGCCATGTCGAAGAAACGCAAATGGGATGATGACTATGTTCGTTACTGGTTCACCTGTACAACGGAAATCGATGGAACTCAACGCCCACAATGTGTATTGTGTAACTCGGTATTTTCAAATGCTGACCTCAGACCATCAAAACTGTCTGACCATTTTAACAGACAGCATGGTGGTGTAGGTGGGCATGATCTCAATAGCCTGAAGCATATGCCAGCACCATCTGATCAGAGTGAAACTTTGAAAGCATTTGGAGTTGCATCTCAAGAGGATGCCTTATTACAGGCATCTTATCAGTTTGCATATTTATGTGCCAAGGAGAAGAATCCTCATACAATAGCTGAAAAATTAGTGAAACCCTGTGCATTGGAAATAGCGCACATAGTTTTGGGACCAGATGCACAAAAGAAACTTCAGCAGGTACCTTTATCGGATGATGTGATCCATTCTAGAATTGATGAAATGAGCAAGGATATCTTACAGCAAGTTCTAGAAGATATCAGATCCAGCCCTCTTCAAGTGGGTATTCAGCTTGCTGAGACAACTGACATGGATGATTGCAGTCAGCTAATGGCATTTGTGCGATACATAAAAGGAAGAGAGATCATAGAAGAGTTCCTATTCTGTGAACCATTGCAGTTAACAATGAAAGGAAAAGATGTGTTCAATCTCTTCAGAGACTTCTTTTTGAAGCAAAAGATAGCACTTGATGTATGTGGCTCTGTTTGTACTGATGGAGCCTCTTCTATGCTAGGAGAAAATTCAGAATTTGTTGCCTGTATAAAAAAAGAAGTACCTCATATTGTGATCACACATTGTTTGTTGAACCCTCACGAACTTGTCACAAAGACATTGCCTACAAAGCTGAGAGATGCCCTGTTTACTGTTGTGAGAGTGATAAATTTCATCAAAGGGCGAGCTCCAAATCATCGCCTGTTTCAGGCTTTTTTTGAAGAAATCGGAATAGAGTATAATGTTCTCCTTTTCCATACTGAAATGAGGTGGCTTTCCCGAGGCCAAATACTTACTCATATTTTTGAAATGTATGAAGAAATAAATCAGTTTCTACACCACCAAAGCAGTAATTTAGTTGATGGCTTTGAAAATAAAGAGTTTAAAATTCACCTAGCATACCTTGCAGATTTATTCAAACACCTAAATGAACTGAGTGCATCTATGCAAAGGACTGGGATGAATACAGTATCAGCAAGGGAGAAGTTATCTGCATTTGTTAGGAAGTTTCCATTTTGGCTAAAGCGAATTGAGAAAAGAAATTTTACCAACTTTCCCTTTCTTGAAGAAATAGTAGTTTCAGATAATGACGCAGAAAGCATTGCAGCTGAAATAACACTGCATCTGCAACAGTTGAGCAACTTCTTCCATGGGTATTTTTCCGTTGGAGATCTTGATGAGGCAAGTAAATGGATACTGGATCCATTTCTTTTTAATCTGGATTTTGTTGATGACGGTTATTTAATGAAAAATGATCTTGCTGAATTACGAGCTAGTGGCCAAATTTTAATGGAATTTGAGACAATGAAACTTGAGGATTTCTGGTGTGCTCAATTCACAGTGTTTCCAAACCTGGCAAAGACAGCTCTAGAAATTCTTATACCATTTGCAACGACATACCTTTGTGAATTGGGATTTTCATCACTTTTACATTTTAAAACAAAGTCCAGAAGCTGCTTTAATATGAGTGATGACATCCGTGTGGCTATTTCAAAAAAAATTCCTCGTTTCTCAGACATCATTGAACAAAAGCTGCAGCTACAGCAGAAGTCACTGTAAGCTGACACACTTTTTTATGTGTAATTTTTAATATATTCTCAATTCCATTGTAAAATTAAGCTATGATCCTGTCTCTTTTATATTTATGGTATACCAAATCCTATGTTTAAAAAATTTAGCATCTTTAACTTTTAATTTTTACATGAGTCATGTGAAAATATGTTTTAAGAATAAGAGGACAAGCAGCAGAAAAGATTTAGTACCACTGCCTAGTTGATATGTAGGATTCTTCTAAGTATCTGTTTCACCTGTTGATGTGATACATAAAAAAGACACCCAAGCACTAGAACATCCAGCTAAATGGTCAGTAGGCTAGGAATGGAGCCAAGAGAAAAGAGAAGACCTTCCAGAACATGCCTCTTCATGTTAAGAGTACTAGTCAAAAGACAAAATGACAGGCTGAATCTTCCCATTTCTGTGAGGGTTGTTAATGAAATCAGAAGAGGATTATGAAATGTTCTAGAGGGAGAAGGGATGACTCTAGTTTATGTGGGATTTGTTTCTGAATGTATTCTTTGGAGTTAGTCTCACAATGTCCAGTCTTCTGGCTACTGTGCTCTAAATACCATGACGTTAATAAATATCTTAATATCCTATTAGTCACTCACTGTCTTCTTTTAAATTACATCAGGGCTTCAAGTTATCGAGGCTGCTAAAAAGGAGGTCCCAAACCTTACCCTAGAGATGCTTATTTAGCAAGTCTGGGATAAGATCAATGATCCTCATTCTAAACCAGCTTTCCAAATGCTTCTGATAGAGTTGTTGGTCCTCTGGCCTCATCTTATTTCTTCTACTCTTATTTTTTTTTAACCCAGTTTCCCCTTTTATTTTATATCTTATTCTATATGTGTGTGGTTTTTTTTAAACATGGTTTAAAACTTTCGAGTGGACCAGAATATAAATAATAAACAAATTGACATGAAGTCACTGTAGTAATTAAGGACCATCAAAAAAGTTTCCCATGGAAATTTAATGTGCTCTTTCTGGATGGTAATTTGGCAAAATATTTTTAAATTCAAATAAATTTAAATTTTTATTTCAAAACTTTAAGGCTTTACCAAAGTACTATATGCTTAAGACTGGGGGGGAAATGAGTCACATAATGAAAAGCTGCAGTCCCCTTCCCGCCCAATTACCTTAACCATTTCTGCTTTAAGTTCTTGTGGTTCCACCCATACATCTAAGTAATATGTTTCTGCCAAACACATATGCCAGTTTCGAGTTACCAACTTTAGAAGTTATATATTGACTCCTAGATAGTAGGTAAGGATTGAGTTTATAAAACATATGTCTTTCCTGCTAGCACCACTTTTTATTATTGTACTAATTCTAATTCCTCTGTTGATTATTCATAGCCCTTTGAGGATTTTTTCCCTCTATAAATTTATCACACGAAAAGAATCAGGGATGTCCACAAAGGTGGGTGATCAGAGCATTTAATAATAGTGAAAAATTGAAAAAACCTAAAGAGGGATGGAATCCAACTACCAAATTTAGATGCCATTTTAAATACTACAAATTGAAGTTTATATTTTCTACACAAAACTGAACACTATCTCCATCCAAAATACTTTTATCAATAAATATAAATACATGCCTTCTTTCATTTAAAAATGTAGTTACAAAATATGTCCTAATTTTTCCGAGTACAATCTAATATCAAGAGCAGTTGGAAATCTTTCCAAAGCTAGTAAAGGAATAAACCTGGATGAGTATGTATGATGCTTAATACATATACATATCTGAAGATAGGAAGGAAGTAGAGATGGGAGCAAGTGCATGTACAGAAGCCTGGAACCTGATGTATGAACCTGACGCAGGACGAGGATGAAATGCCAGAAGACATGATGTATGATAGTCTTTCAGTAAGTCTACTCAAATTCCCTCTTAGACTAAATTTATTAATTTCTGCTCTAAAACAAAAACCCAAAGGACATTTTAAAGGAAATAGCTAACAATGTTTGATTAATTTTCAAATTCTGCAACAGGTTACTTACCCCTGATCAAATAAAGGAGACTGGAGTGCCTGCTAAAGTGAAGAAGCAACTTAATTTTTTCTTTTTTTAGTTTAAAAAAATCTCCCACAGTGGCACATACACCAGCACATGTAAGTCATATGTGTTGATTTCTTTTTCTCCCAAGGAAGAATTTTCTTATATTTTTACTATATAATTAAGGTCATTGACAAATTGCAAGAAAGGAGTCAGACATGATAAAGACATAATCTTTATGACCAGTAGATGTCACTCTGTGCATGACTTGTTGAAAACAAACTTACTCACATTATAGATTTTGCCGGTTATCTGATTTTAAACATCTCTAGAAAAGCGATTAGTAGCTCAAATTTAAAATGCCCCATCTGAGCTGCTGCTGGCTCAAAATCGACAGACAGCTCTGGTGGAGCCATTAACTACCAGACTGCAAGAAATTGGAAAACCAGGGTGAGAAAGAGAAGAAATAAATGGCTTTTTCTCAGGTTTGCCTTATTGTTCTGGAACTGATATTTATCCAAATTTTTAGGAGACCTTTGTACCAAATGTTTTATTATGAGAATCTTCAAACATACCAAAAAGTTGCAAGAATAATACAATGAACACTAATATGCCTATTTTCTAGATTCAGTTAACATTTTGTTGTAACTATGTTTATATAAATGTATAGGTATTCATGTATCAAACAAGGTCCAGTAAGAAATAGAAACCATACCAGTTTTTAAACAAATAGAATCTACACTAAAGAATCATTAACCATGTATTGGGAGGACTAGAAAGGCCAAAGGGGATACTGAGGTGTCACGGAGACGGTAAATGTAGGAAGCAGCTGGCATCAGTAGGGCTAGCTGAACAAGTGAAGGGGGTGGAGTTATTAAAACTTGGAAGCTTGGAAGAGAGGCCCGTTGGAGGTGAGACTCAGGTGTCTGAGGAAGGGACTCTGCTAGTACTGGTATTGTTCTAGGAGTTCAAGAATCTGAAGAATGGGCACCAGCCTCCTGGTGCTGCCGCCTCTGAGAGATGAGGCTAACTCTAGAAGTGTGAAAAAACTCAACATTTAAACCAATTAGTTCCTGCTGCTAATGGAACTAATTCTCACTGCCAGGATGAAGAACCATTAGAGATGATAGAGCAATAGGAAGCAAAAGAGGAAGGAGCAAGTCTCTGGTCCTCTCTCTAGATTTACGCTCTCTCTTACCTCTTACTCGCACAGCGTAACAAAGGTAGGTGATAAAGAAAAGTACTTTGTGGGGTTCCAGCTCCAGTATCACAAAGAGATTATAGAAAGTATAGAAGGGTGGGTTTGAAGCTAAATGACGATAGCTTAATAACCAGCACATTTCACCCCTTTAGCTATTCAGCATCCATTCGTACCCTTCTATGCATATTTGAATTTCTACACAATAAACATAGCTTTGTAGTTCTCTTAAGGTGTAACTATCCTTTGTACAAATGAAGATGCTCTTACCTTTTCCAGAATGAGGAAACACGAAGCCTAAACTCACTTTAATTATTAAAATTTAATAGCAGTTCTATTAATTATTCTGTTGCCTAAAAACCACCCCCAACAACCAATTTTTTTTGTTGGGGGGGTTCTGTAGAGGAGGTCTCTAGGTATAAAACACCTCGCTTTTACAATAACCAATGGTGACAAATTGGTACAAACCACCCGGAAGTTCTTCAGACACATGGTTACAGAGCAATACTGTTCACTGACCTGTCATGCCTTGACCATGCCAATTTCAGGCCTGCTGGCATTAACCTTCACAGCACAAGCCCATAATGGTCAGTGACAGTCTTGACTTCCAATTCAGTAAAACCACTTACATCTCTGGTGAAAGCATTTCTCCCTTGGGAACCAAGACTTCCAAACTGTTAGAGCTCACAGTTGCAACAATGGGAAGCAAAAATTCTATGAGCTATTAGGTGCCATCGTAAGAGGAGCCACTCCCATTACCAACCTTTGATTCCTGGACCAATGTAGTCTGCTATGCAAAACCATTTTCATTGATTACCAGCTCAAAGCACATATTGCATCCTATAAGATAGAATCTTATCTGTTTAGGTTATTTTCTCTCAGTAGCAAGTATCTGAGTCTTAAATAGATCATTCTATCATTCTAACAGACCAAGCTGCTCCTGGGTGATGAAGTACGTGACAAGACCAGTAAATTACACAGACCTCAGTTTGTTGCCACACTCTGTTATGGACTTCATGTTTGTGTTTGCCTCCAAGTTCATGTAAAACCCTATCCCCCAATGTGATGATATTTAGAGATGGGGCCTTTGGGAGGTAATTGGGGTTTGATGAGATCATGAGGATAGGACCTTTGCCCGATGAAGTCAGTACCTTTCTAAGAGACACCAGAGAGCTTGGTCTCTCAAGAGGTTATTTGAGCACACAGAAATATGGAGGCCACCCACAAACCAAGAGGTTTCAAGATTAAACCTTCTTTGCCACACCTTGATCTTAGACTTCTCAGCTTCCAGAATTGTGGAAAGTCATTTTCACTCAGTCTATAGCATTTTGTTATGGCAACCCAAGCAGAATAACACACTGCTATTTCTTGCTAAGATGCAATGTGGCACATGATGCCACGACCATTAATAAGACTGGCAGAAGTACTAAAAGGCAAGTCATATCCAGATTATGTATCTTTTTTAGTGAGAGTAAATTGCTGCGCCTTCATGATAGAAGGGGTGTAATGTAATTAACCTGCTGCCAAGTGCCCATATCAGGGGCTCAGTGTCGGTCTCTGGACTCTGCTATTGGCAGGTCAGGCAATTAGTACATCAGTCGTGGCAAGGGGCAATCCATGTTGTTGACTTACAGATAAGCCTCCATCCTTGCCAACATGTCCACTTGTACATGGGCTCATTGGGCAGTCATTAGGATGGCTGGAGAAAGAGGCTGGCTAATAGCTACAAAGTACATCGCCTTGCCCTACTTACTGAGCCTCTTCTGTGTTAATTTAGGTTCAACAAGGCCATCAGGAATTCCTCGTCCAAAGTCACCTGTCACAGGAGACCCATATATGACTTAGTGTTCCTGCCACTCTCAGTTATTTGCTGGGAGCAGCCCATGCACAGATGCATGGATCAGCCCAGGCACAGTGATGAATTTCAGCGTGCAGCAGCTGGAGCTAATGGCCCATCATGTTCCCTATAGTTATATGTCTGCAAAGTACGTTCTCATGGTTGCACAGTGTCCTTTGGTGACCATTCACCTGGAGCGCATTAATCTTCAATTCTCTGCTTATTTTGAGGGTTCTGTCCACATACCTTCCCCCCAGACCTTCTTGTCACTTGTCTTCTAAATCTGTTCTTTTGAAGTCCCTGAGCATTCGTCAAACCATTAGTAATTGCCTTTAAATATTAGAGTTTAGATTCATACTGTGGATAGCACTCAGTTCAGTAGATAACTAAATGTACTGCCCAAAATTCTCCCCAGGAAGATTTCCCTTTATTAGGACTTTCCAGAGACACCTACCTGGGGTTTAAGGCTGCAGCAGTTTTTGCAGCAGCCAGCTGGTGCTAGCATACTGGCCAGAATAAACTGTAAACCAGGCCTAAATTTCTTTCTCATCAGCTGGTCAGAAGGAACTC